TTTTCTTTTTTATTCCCTTTCAACAGGATAATTCATAATAATGGATGTTATGATTGAGAATGAAAGAATCATAACATCTAGTATGTTTATAATTTTTGTATGAGCATTATGTTTGTGTATTATTACTATTTCATTCAAACATCATATAAGGGTTTTTTTTGAAAAGTTAAAAATATTAGGTACCTTAAAATAACTTATAAGAGATACTAATATCAGTTGAGTGGTGATAGAGAGCTTTAAAAGTAAAGTTCTAAATTGAGCTCTACTTATGTGGTAATGAGAAAATAAAAAAGAAAAAAAGTTAAAACATCACATCAATAAATAGATCTCACCTATTAAAATTCTTTTAAAATTCTTAATTTACAGCTCTCAAATATTTTTTATATAAATTTACAAGAATATATGAGAAATACTTTTTCGTATACATGGGTACGAGGACGATTTTCAAAAAATGAGAGGTCACGTGTCCCTAAGCTTTCATTGGCTCCTCCGTCCGTCCCTACCCCGGCCACCCACCCCTTTGTCTCTTCTTGGTTTTCTTATTATTTTCAACAAAAGATTAATTTACGTTCCCTCTATTTAATTACTTGCTTTTGAAAGCATGTACATTTTTGTATTACATTAAATAATTAAGGTAATAATCATTCAATTAAAAAATTAATTAAAGAGCAAAAGAGACATTTAACATGATGAAAAAAGGACTACCGTCACCCACCCCCACCATCTTTGTTCGTAATAAATATAAATAAATCAATTACCGAAGCCATACGCAGTTGTATCTTTTGGGTTAGAAAGGAAGTCATTAATGGACTGAGTGGATTCTTGGCGCATGTGGTGAAGTTGGTTCTGAAGTTGATATTGATGGGCAAGACCAGTAGTCTGGTATCGTTCTTTCAAAAAATCCCAGATGTCTTTCGCAGGAGTAGTTACAGAGTCAAGCTGAAAGCGGCCAAATTGAAGACTGATAGAGGTAACAGAGGTATTACGAAACCAGGTAATGATTTGGTAATTCTTACTGTCCCATTCCTCAAGTCGGTCTTCATATGTAGCAGTATGAACAGGAGTTTCAGTAGTGGCACTGTCTTTTACTGGTTTAGTCACATCCCCGGTGATAATTCGCCAGAGCTTCTTGCCTTTGAGGAAAGAGGACATAGCTTGGGCCCACAGAACATAGTTTGAACCATTTAAAATGACGGAAATGGGATGGGAGGCATCATGACGATCCATATTACTAGTTGAGTAGGGTTAAAGTGATAGAAATAGATCCGTAGGAGCAAAATTAGGTAAAACAGAGTGTACCAGTGAGTCCGGAAGGTCGAAAATAGCAAGGAAAGGTATGCTGGACAGAGATGATGTCAGCAATGATGTCAGCGGCGCACGTTAGCAGAGTGCAGGGAGGAGCACGTTAGCAGGAAGGCGACGGCGCACGGTAGCAGACAGGCGTAGGCGCGGCGCACGGTAGCGGGTTTGGCGCACGCGGGTGCACACTAGCGAAGTGGCGCACGAGAGGCGTACGGTAGCAGGCGCGGCGTATGGGAGCCGCGGACGTGTGGGCGCGTGTTGGCGCGTGGCGGAAGTGAGCAACAGCAGATGGCGCGTGTGTGCGCGTGTGAGAGTGGTGGCGGAAGTGTTGACGCGCCGAGGACAAGGGCGGCGCGTGTGGGCGCGTGTGAGGTATTCTGAGAACGGGCTTGGTGCCGTTGGAATCAGGAGAAAATTTCGAGCAGTTTGATGTAATTTCGAGCAGTTTAATGTAGTGCCACGGTATACGGGACTAAACAAAAAATTGCCAGAAATGTAAACCGGGCTCTGATACCATGAAAGATTAGTTTGAGAGAGTGAGAGAAGCTAGAGAGCGAGAGAGAGACTCTGAAATATTTCTGTATATTGCATATTACAAAGAGAATGAACTCTCTCTTTATAGAGAGAAATATGGCACATTGGATACCAAACAAACCCACTGCCACCGAAAGTATAAAGACTAATGCTTAAAGAAATAAAGCTAAAGCTAAAGGAATAAAGCTAAAGCTAAAGTTAACAATTAACAAGTATACAATTAAAAATTATATACAATTATATACTAACATTGATAAAATATAAACTAATTTGACAAAAATAAATGTCAAGCGAATACTTTTGAATTTTTAAAAATTATTTCTACCCACTAAAAATAAAATTATGTAAAATTAATAAATCTTTTAAACATTTATTTATTTATTTTTACCAAATTAATTTTTATTATGTGTTTGGATGATGATCATGTAAAATTAATTTTAAAAAATTAATCATGTAAATTTTATTATTTTTTATCAATTTTACATAATTTTATCATTGGTGGATAAAAATAATTTTTAAAAAATTTAAAATATTTTTTTGTCATTTATTTTTGTCAAATTAGTTTATATTTTATTAAATTGACGATTTTGTCATTGAAATTAAATAATGATATCTTCAATTGTCTTTATTTGGAACAAGATTCAAAATTCAAGATTAAATGTGTCACAATTGAAAAGTCATAGATCAAAGTGACACGAGTCCCAAACTATAGGGACTATTTGTATAATTTACCCTAATATTTAACCAGTGTTTCACTAATGATTATATTTCACTACTCCATTTTCACCGTCACCACTCCACCACTATCAAGACACAACCACCGTCATGCCACCAAATAAAAGAAAAAGTTTGAACAGAAAACATCTCCTGACAAAGGTTTTTAATAGAAGACTTTTTTTCTAAGAAAATATTATATTATATATAGCGTACATTTTTTAGAATGATTTTTTTCTTTCATCACACCATCCAAAATTGATAATCAATTTTACATAAAGTGTGACAACAGTTACACGAAATGAGATGTACATTTGATATAATCAGAATAGATTATACCTGTTCCACAAGACGAAGACGAATATACTATCATCGAAGACACCACCATTAGAGCTCCGTGGAAGAAACAAACTCTCAGTTTAAGCTGGGAGTTAAAAAAATCTAGCACACCTTCACAAAACAAACACTATTATATTTTTTTACACGGACGAAGAATCCAACGTATTGTTGAGTTCTGATCTAAATAATATATTGCCATCCTGTTGCATAACAGGAGACTGTAAATGCTGCTTCTACTAATCATCTTAGCACAGAAAATACAATTGTGGAAAAATAATAAATAAATAAATTGGAAGCATTCAGAAGGATTCTTGTCGGTCCAAATATTGTTTGGTTTACATGGAAACTCCTCTTGCCTTTATATGCTTGCATATTCCAAACTTCTTAGCTTTCTATATTTGTTTTCATCTGGGTGTTGTTTATAAGGTGTTGCTTATTCTTGGAAGTATTACTATGCACATTTTGAAAAGGTGCACAAGGGTATGCACCCAAAATTTCCTTTCATAAAATTATGAATACCTAGAGTTATTGAAATTTTTGGGATCCTAACTGCTTTTATAGATAAAATTCTGAATACCTAAAATTATTGAAATTTTCTGGGTACTCTTTCTAGGGGATCTTCTATTGGACACCTCACATCCTCGGTTCATACCAAGCTCAATTTGAATTTTTTAATATTTTTTTTCAATTCACACAATTGATTTTTTTGAATAATACCAAAATACTCTCATCTTCTTGTTTGTACATTCATATTTGACGGCCTTAGTTAGTTGGATTTAGAAAACTCAGTGGATTTGTATTGCATAATGACCTTGAGTACTGAAGTGGGTGAAAATTAATCAAGTCTTGGTGCTAGGCCCAATGCAACACTCACTCCAAGGTGGAGCTAGGTCGGACCTCGGCCCTATGGCCAACACTTGCTCCGAAGTAAGACAATCATAGGAGTTCTTCATGATTAGCTTTGATATTGTGCAAAACTAGCTTCAATTCAAGCACATGAACTAGTTGCCCATCGATTCCCTGAAAGAAACTAGGAGGTCTCAGTCAATCAGTTAAATATTAATATATAAAATTAAAAAAAAAAAAAAACTAAATTACTAATTACCAATTACTCGTTCAGATTGACAAAAAGGCTATGATCCTTTTTAGCAAGGACTACATAGGACCAAGTCCATGACACCAAAACATATCCCAGGAACAATAACTCAACAATTTGTTTTGAAAACAAGTGAAAACAGCTTTTTTTCATTTCAAAAAATTTTGAAATCACTTCCCTTTTTTTGAAAACAAAAATAATATATCAAACAAATTTTCATTTTCAATTTCCAAAAAAAAATGAAAATGAAAACAAAAACATTACCAAACAAGGAGTAAATGACAATATGCTCACTTTTGAAATGGCAAAACTGCCCTCTTAAGATCACATAATATAAATTAACAATAATGGCATCCAAGCAAGCACATGAAGCAATTCCAAAAACATGAAGCAAATATATATTTTAATTCCATGGGCTGGCAAACAGAGAGTATAGGCATACCCAATCTGTCTTTAGTTGCTTCGAAATAATCCCCTCCTTTGTCTTCTCCTAATTCCGGTTGTAGCAACCAAAAACAAGACATAATAAGACCAAAAGCAGCACACAGAATATATATGCATTCTACCTACAAATTCTTCAAATGCCAAGCAACAAGAGCAAGAAAGTATTAAAGAAACAACAACCAAAGAAAATAAACAAGCCTCAAACAAAGAACTAAAGGGATAGCAATGAAAATGGTGAAGAACGAGGAGAATCCAGGAAGGAGAAGCAGAAGCAGGGTAGATGGAGAGGCCTTGGAAGCAAAGTGTGCCAAGAGAAAGAGAAGAGATCTAATACCCGCGTGCCACAATCAACAAATAGAGCAGCCACGGCAGCAAGTTTATCAAGCTTCCGCCCCTACCACAGTGAAGAGAAGTTCAAAGTTTCGCGGTGTCAGCAAGCATAGATGGACAGGGCGATTCGAAGCTCACTTGTGGGATAAACTTTCTTGGAATGTTACACAGAAGAAGAAAGGGAAACAAGGTAGACAGTGTTCATTCTTCGCACACTTCCTTCATTTTTTAAATTGAAAATCTAGTGCCTAATTTGAGATTTCTCACTTTGTTTCTGCGGTCTGGCACTTTGAAATGGGACTTCGGATCAACAGTTTACCTTGGTGAGTGCTCTTTGTTACTAGGAATTTTGGACTTTACATAGTTCTATTTTTTTATCTTTTATTTTTACATTAAACTAAATAAACACATTTCCTCAAATCTCTCAGGAGCTTATGATGAAGAAGAATCAGCAGCAAGAGCATATGATTCAGCTGCACTCAAGTATTGGGGGACATCAACTTTCACCAATTTCCCGGTATAACATCAGTTGTGAATAAATATGAGATTGTTTGCACTATACATGTTTTCCATCTATATGAGATATAACTTATAGTTGAACACCCCTGAAATTTCACACAGGTGTCTGATTACGACAAAGAGATTGAGATAATGCAAACCGTAACAAAAGAGGAGTACCTAGCCTCTTTAAGAAGGTATGAATTCAAATATCTCATCTGATTTTTAATAAAGTTTGTTCATGGATATTCTGCTTAAATACCTAAGTTTTTTTTCCCCTTTGTTATAGAAAGAGCAGTGGCTTTTCAAGAGGTGTATCCAAGTACAGAGGGGTTGCAAGGTATATTTTTTTTTTCTTCAAAAAATAGTGATGAACCGACATATATTTATTAGTGATGAGGAAGCAGATTATTCTAAAACTATTGTTTTGGGGACAAAATGCAGGCACCATCACAATGGAAGATGGGAAGCTAGAATAGGAAGAGTCTTTGGAAATAAATACCTCTACCTTGGCACTTACAGTAAGTAACATCCAAATCTAGAATGAATACAATACACAACATATATAACCAAAAACCAACCATAGGTTAACAATACAACAATATAAGCTACTGTTTGCTTACCTATGCGGCACATCTCTCGTTACAGGCACCCAAGAAGAGGCTGCTCGTGCTTACGACATTGCAGCAATTGAGTACAGAGGCATCAATGCTGTGACCAACTTTGATCTAAGTTCATACATTAGATGGCTCCAGCCAGGAGCAAACAATCCAATTGCTGTGCAAGAACAACAGATGAACACAGAATCTCAGTCAGTCCCATCCTCTAACTTCAGTTCAGGAGAGGAATTCCAATCCTTGTTGTTCCATGTCGATAATTTCAGTGTAGATGACTTGAACTTTCCTCAAAAGCAAGAAGTGATTGAAAGGAAATTCCCGGTTAGCAAATACGCAGAGTCTTCTTCTCCCACTGCGCTTGGCCTCCTCCTTCGTTCTTCAGTATTTAAAGAATTGGTGGAGAAGAATTCTAATGTCTTCGAGGATGAAATTGACGGGGAAGACACAAAGCACCAATTACAGATGGGTAGGGATGACGAGTATGCAAGGATATTATATGATGGAAATGGTGATATCCCATTTGTGCTCTCTTCCAATCGTGAGTTCCAAGGAGAGCTTCACTTCACCTATAATGATCAAGGTGAACTGCTTGGAGCAGCATCGTGCGACATGCCTTCCATGTGATCACTAGTAGCATTTGCAGGATATCTTGAGTAATCTTAATTGGTTTTTTTTTTTTTGTCTCTCTAGAAATTTATTACTTGAGCTTTTCTTTGTTGATATGAAATTCCTCTACAAATAAATATGAATGAAGTTCATAACATGCTCCAAATATATATATAGCTACCAATCCAACACACCAACTATAATTCCAAAAGACAGCCAATACCTAAAATAAAAGGTCTCCAAATAACTCCAAGGCATATAAATAAAATTTTAAAAATAAAACAAAAACTTTCTAAAGTTCAGACCACACAAACATTGATATTCCTGCAAAACAATGTCGAAGAACTTGAACTAGGTCATTTATAAAAATATGGAAGTATAAACAAAAATAATCAAATTAGATAAATTCAAATATGGAAAATGATTCCTTGTGCACAAATAGGAGAATAAAAATATGGAATATATAACTTAACAAAATTGATAAACACATAGGCAACTGACCAACTTAGGATTAACTAACAAAACAATTACTACCCTAAATAGAATACAAGCTATGATGAATTGTTGGAAATTGGGCTGGGTATTGGACCTGAATTTGGGCGCCCATGTGGCATGACCCATGGTCCATTCAAATTACCCATGTAATTTGAATTTGATTTCTTAATTATCCTATTTGTTAAGATAACTCTCTATCTATCTACATCTATCCTATCCTTAGCAGATATGGATAGATGGATATATATGGTTATATATCTAATTATGTTCATTGATTTCCTAATTATCCTATTTGTTAGGATAGCCCTCTATCTATCTACATCTATTCTATCCTTAGGAGATATAGATAGATGGATATATATGGTTATATATGATGTAGAACAAGTAGCCGAAGACTTCTTGGAACAATTGGACCGACAAAAGACAAGAAAAAAGATGTAGAACAAAATTCTATAATTTTTATATTTCTTAATTTTATTGTTTAGAATTAGGTTTTTGACTAGAATTTTAAATAGTTTAGAATTTTTAGTCTCTTAGGTTTCCTAGTTCTCTTAGGTTTCTTAATTTGTGTTGATTTAAGTTTCCTAGTTTATTTTGGAATCACTTTTCCTACAAGTATTAGGTTTAGTCTATTATAAATAAGCCTACAAGCATATGTAATTTTTATTCATTCAATAATATTTTTAAGAGTTTTTCTTCTATCTTCCTTGTAGATTCAAGGGTGTTCTTGTAGATTCAAGAATTCTCGTCTGCTAGAATGATATCTAGTCTCGTGTGATTTATTTCGTTGCGTCAAGTGGTATCAGAACAAGGATTCACTTGGCTCAATGGCACAAGACAGAGTAGATCATGCAAACCCTACTGGAGGTGATCGTGGGGTCGAGGCCCTGTGGGTAGCATATGAGAAACAGCAAGAGTAGTTGAACGAAACTCGTGATCTGCTTATTGGCCTGAATCTCAATGCCAACAACAGGCCACCAGTGGTTGATAGGGTCCGTGCTGAGGGAGTTGCTTAAGGCCAACCTGTTAACCAGAACAGAGTGTGCACCGAAGGATTTGCCCGAGGTCAACCTGTTCAGAATGCTCCTAGACGTCCCCTTCGTTGTCCATCTGATAGTGAGGAGGAGTCTGAACCAGAGTTTGAACCACTTCCAGCCAACTATCGACCCCGAAGGCAACAATAACAAGGGTTCGATGAGTACCGAATGAAGATAGATCTTCCCCAGTTCAATGGAAATCCACATATTGAGGATTTTCTTAACTGGCTTTCAGAGGTGGAGCGATTTTTTGGGATGATGGATGTTCCAGAATCAAAGATGGTGAAATTGGTGGTGTACAAACTAAAAGGAGGTGCTGCGGTATGGTGGGATCAATTACAGAAAAATAGGCATCGATAAGGAAAAGAATCTGTACGGACTTGGCGTCGGATGAAACAACTCCTCCAAGACAAATTTTTACCACCGGATTATGATCAACACTTGTTTCAGTTGTACCAAAATTGCAACCAAGGAAGTCAATCTGTATTTGATTATACAACTGAATTTTGTCGACTTTCAGATCGTAATAATCTGAATGAGACCGAAGGACAGCGTGTAGCCCGATATCTCAATGGGTTAAAATTAACCATTCGAGAGAAGATAGGGCTATCAGTAGTGTGGACTATGGATGAAACACATAATATGGCTCTCAAAGCCGAGCTAATGGAGCGCAAGACAACCTATTCTGGATATCGTCGGAACCTTCATGATTCATCGTTTCCCACTAGGGAAAAAGGAAAAGGAGCTGCCCAACCAACAGTTCCAGTAAATCAGTAGAGGGGTACCGCTGGTAGAGGAGGAAACTAGATGACTGGATCAAGTAGTAGAGAGGCATCTCGAAACACAAATCCTTATGCCAAACCAACAACGGATATGTGTTATAGATGTAGTACGCCTGGCCATCGCTCTAATGTCTGCCCAGAAAGAAGGACTGCTAATTTAGTTGAAGAAGAAGATGAAATTGGAGATAATGGAGATGCAGAACATGAGGGTGATCAGTATGAAGGTGCTGAACTTGCCAGAGAAGAAGGAGAACGAGTCAACTGTGTAGTTCAAAGGGTTCTATTTACACCAAAAACTGAGGACCTCAGTCAACGTCACAATATTTTTTGCTCTTGTTGTACCATAAATCAAAAGGTGTGTGACCTTATTGTGGACAGAGGAAGTTGTGAAAATTTTGTGGCTAAACGATTGGTAACGCACCTGAACTTCTCTCCTGAACCACGCCCCTCTCCCTACAGCATTGGCTGGATTAAAAAAGGACCTGCTGTCAAGATAATCGAAGTATGTGAGGTACCTATTTCTATTGGCAAACATTATAAATCCGATGTATTATGTGATGTGGTTGATATGGATGCTAGTCATGTATTACTTGGAAGACCTTGGCAATTTGATGTGGATATTACATTTAGAGGGCGAGACAACACTTATGTGTTCAATTGGGGGTCTCATAAAATTGCTATGAGTCCTTTAAACCAACACATAGTGCCTCCAAAAGTCGAAGTGAAGTCTTTCCTCACTATAACCAATTCAGAGGCCGAGTTTGTGGCAGATGCGAAAACTTCGCAAGATTCATATGCTATGGTTATGAAAACAATGGTACCTATGGCCAAGGAGAACACAGTCACACCAATCCCTCAGAAAATTAAACCATTGTTGGAGGAATTCCAAGAGCTTACTGCTGACGAGTTGCCAGATGAACTTCCACCCATGAGGGACATTCAACATCAGATTGATTTCATACCAGGAGCAAGTCTGCCAACCTACCATACTACCACACTATAGAATGAGTCCAAAAGAGAGTGAGATCCTACGGGAGAAAGTCGAAGAATTGCTGCGAAAGGGACTTATTTGTGAAAGCCTAAGTCCATGTGCTGTTCCGGCATTATTAACGCCAAAGAAATATGGAAGTTGGCGAATGTGTATAGACAGCCGAGCCATCAACAAGATTACCATCAAGTACAGATTTCTCATTCCCTGACTAGATGATATGTTGGACATGCTAGAAGGATCAAAGTGGTTTTCAAAGATCAATCTGAGAAGTGGGTACCATCAAATTCGAATCCGTCCTGGGGATGAATGGAAAACAGCATTCAAGACTAAGGATGGTTTATATGAATGGTTGGTTATGCCAATTGGCTTTTCTAATGCTCCTAGCACCTTCATGCGAGTGATGCATCAAGTATTACGACCTTTCACAGGGAAATTTGTCGTGGTTTATTTTGATGACATATTAATCTACAGCAAATTTGAAGAGGACCACATGTCCCATTTACGAGAGGTGTTGACAGCACTGGGGGTAAGCAAGTTGTACATTAATCTTAAGAAGTGCAGTTTCCTTACAAGTAGTTTGTTGTTCTTGGGTTATGTGGTTAGTTCAGATGGCATTCATGTGGTTCAAGACTGTTAGTGATGTTCAAAGTTTCCATGTGTTGGCTACGTTTGATACGCGTTTCATTCGAAGTTTCAGCACTATTGTGGCACCAATCACAGAGTGCATGAAAAAAGGAAAATTCCTATGGGGTGATGATGCGGAAAAGAGCTTCTTGTTGATCAAGAGAAGTTGTGCACTGCACTAGTGCTGGCTTTGCCCAGTTTTGAGAAGATCTTGGTAGAGTGTGATGCTAGTGGTGTGGGCATTGGGGCTGTCCTATCTCAAGAACATAAACCAGTGGCCTTTTTCAGTGAAAAATTAAGTGAAGCTCGGCAAAAGTGGAGCACTTATAACCAAGAATTTTATGCAGTGGTTTGAGGTTTGAAGCATTGGGAACATTACCTGATATAAAGAGAGTTTGTGTTGTATACTGATCATCAAGCCTTAAAGTTTATCAACAGCCAGAAGCACCTAGATAACATGCATGTAAGATGGTCTACTTTCCTTCAGAAATTTCCTTTTACTATTCGCCACAAATCAGGGGTTTTGAATCGAGTCGCGGATGCCTTGAGTCGACGGGCTAGTTTATTAGTCATGTTGACACATGAGATTGTGGGTTTTGAGTTCCTGAAAGAACTTTATCCTGATGATGATGACTTCAAGGAGATATGGGCAAAGTGTATTCAAAGACAACCAGTAACTGATTTCCACATCACTGATTCTTATTTATTTCGAGGAAATTGCTTATGCATTCCCTGTAGCTCTTTGCGAGAGAAACTAATTTGAGATCTCCATGGTAGTGGCTTAAGTGGACATTTGGGCAGGGACAAGACTATCGCAAGTATGGAAGAACGATATTTCTGGCCTCAGTTGAAGCGAGATGTTGGCAATTTTGTGAGGAAGTGCTACATTTGTCAAGTATCCAAAATGCAGTCTCAGAATACTAGCCTCTATATGCCTCTACCTGTTCCTAACAACATATGGAAAGACTTGTTAATGGAATTTGTGTTGGGACTCCCTCGTACCCAACGTGGAATTGATTCTGTGTTCGTAGTGGTTGACAGGTTTTCAAAGATGGCACATTTTATTCCTTGTCGAAAGACTTCAAACGCCTCTCATGTGGCTCGATTATTCTTTCGAGAAGTAGTTCTTTTGCATGAAGTCCCTCAATCCATTACCTCAGATCGTGATGTCAAGTTCCTTAGCCACTTATGGGTGACTTTGTGGAAGATATTTAACATAGCCTTGAATCGTAGTTCAACCGCGCATCCTCAAACAGATGGTCAAACAGAGGTGACTAATAGGACTTTGGGCAATTTGGTTCACAACATTTGTGGAGACAAACCAAAGCAATGGGATCTTGGTTTGCCTCAAGAAGAATTTGCATATAATAGCGCAGTTCACAGTGCCACAGGAAAGTCACCATTCTCTCTGGTGTATGTCGCGGCTCCAAAACATGCAGTTGATTTGCTCCGTTTGCCTCGGGGTCCAGGAGTGGGTACTGCCGCTGAAACCATGGCCAAACAAGCCCAAACAATACAAGAAGAAGTACGACAAAAGTTGAAGGAAACAAATACCAAATATAAGGCAGCTGCAGACAACCATCGGCGCTCCAAACTGTTCAAGGAAGGAGATTCAGTAATGGTGTTTTTGCTCAAAGACAGATTTCCAGTTGGCACATTCAACAAATTGAAGCCTTGCAAGTATGGTCCATACAGGGTGTTGAAGAAAATCAATGACAATGCTTATGTGATTGAGCTACCAAACGACATGAAGATTTCCAAGACTTTTAATGTAGCTGATTTATATGAGTATCATGCTGAAGAACCCCTCTATCCAGAATCAAACTCGAGGTCGAGTTCTCTCCAAGAAGAAGGGACTGATGTAGAACAAGTAGCCGAAGACGTCTTGGAACAATTGGACCGATAAAAGGCAAGAAAAAAGATGTAGAACAAAATTCTATAATTTTTATATTTCTTAATTTTATTATTTACAATTAGGTTTTTGACTAGGATTTTAAATAGTTTAGAATTTTTAGTGTCTTAGGTTTCCTAGTTCTCTTAGGTTTCTTAATTTGTGTTTATTTAAGTTTCCTAGTTTATTTTGGAATCACTTTTCCTACAAGTATTAGGTTTAGTCTATTATAAATAAGCCTACAAGCATATGTAATTTTTATTCATTCAATAATATTTTTAAGAGTTTTTCTTCTATCTTCCTTGTGGATTCAAGGGTGTTCTTGTGGATTCAAGAATTCTCGTCTACTAGAACGATATCTAGTCTCGTGTGATTTATTCCGCTGCGTCAATATATCTGATTATATATTTGAATATATATAACATCAAATATGTTATGTATTTTTTACTCATAACATTTTTTCCCATACTCTTTCTCTAACTCTCTCCCATATGTAAAACGATCAAGCCTTTGCATTGTGACTAGAGAGGGTGATACTCATACTGTGGTATCACTCCATTGTTAGGAGTTCATAGTTCGTGGTTGTCAACCACATGATTACCCATAAGGTTCTTCGTTCTAGATTCTTTTACACAAGGTATATATTTGAATCCTTTTACCCGCTGTGTTATCTGTATCTTACATTGGTATCAGAGCCATAAATAGGTATTTTCGTACTTTTTTTTATGTATTTAAATATGTATATAATTATATATACACACATGATATATGCATGAAAAATTAATATTTTCCGAACTTTCTCCGATCAACTTGAAATTTACATATGTTGTAGTATATTCATGTAAAATATATCTGCAAAGTTTCATGAAAATCCAACGGTTGGATTTTGAGAAAAATGGAGATTCATATTTAATTTTTCATAACTTTGACTACATGCTGGTTTTACATGCTTTGTTTTTATGTTATGAAAATTATATATTTGAAATCCTTGTTTTGATACCTTCAAAATGGTATATTATGGGCCTGATTCCGACTTACGGTTGATGAGAAAAAGCAAACCCTAATTTGGGTTCGTTTTGTATTTTTGGTGGCTTAAGGAAGAAGATGAAGTGCAAAGTTTCTGCACTTCCACTCTCATTAGAGAGAGTGTGTGCTACACTCCATTATTTTTGTTTGTTAAATGTCATTTTTTAGACCACTACTGTTTTTATTTTGAAAAAATGAGTCCGGCAGTACCAAAATCAGTCTAGAAATCATTTCGGAAGGTAGCACGTGTGACTCATATGCTAGCTGGCACAGCCAGAGATTGCCACACGTTGCCACGCGTCCCACCCGCCAGCCACGCGCTAGGCACGCTTCCCACGTAAGTGACACGCGCCCTTCTCACGCGAGCGTTAAGCCATGCTGCTTCGAGATGCGCCACGTGCGCTGCCATGCGTGCGCCGTGCACTGCGCCGAGCCGAGCCGCACTGTTTTTCCACGCTGGCTTGGCTGGCTGGATGTTAAGGCACTATTTGTTTTACCCTTAAATCCTGAATTGCGTTAAATGGTCATAAATAATTTGTTATAGCTTTGTTTTGAGCGTGGTTGGTACTATTAGACTTAGAATTAAATTTTTTATCTACTGTAAAATTTTCAAAATTTTATGAAAATAAAAAATATTTTTCCTGAGATAATGATTTATTATTTCTACTTTAAAATGCTTTTAGGGTTGCATGACTAAGTTTCTGAGGCTGAAATTTTTACAGTAGACTACTGTACTGGTACACTATTTACTGGTATGATTTTTGCATTTTCTCAGATTCTAGAATATTTATTTCTGATTTTATATGTATTTATTAGTTATTTAAAATTCCAAAAAATATCAGAAAATTTCAAAAAATTTCAAAAGTGATGTACTTTCTGTTATGGCATAATCTGAATATTAAACGCAGCATATTGTTGTTTTTTGACTAGAGTTTCTAATATGTTATGATTAGAATAGCATGATTAATTGTTTTTTATTTTAATTCCGTTATTAAATATAACATAGCATGTATTGATTGTGAATCTACATTATGATACTATTGTATAAAATTAGAATTTTTTATCATGCTTTTTAGACATGCCATAGTGAGTGAGAGGTTATTCGGTTGAGAGAAATCTTTATAGATTAACTCCCGAAAACCAATATTTTGCGCATAAATTAAATTAAATTTTGGATAATTGTCACCTGTGACGCAAGAGATGATTACGAGCATAGC